TGAAAACTCACCGTGAGCCAAAGTTGATCTTGCTTATTTTGGGGCTTATCATAAACGAGTGATTCAATTCAGCCTTATTTTATTCATTCAATAGAGTTACACCAGATTTAGGTCCTGCATTTCCTGTCAGAGTTATGCGTAAGAGCGTCTGAAATATACACTAGCTTTGAAGGCTGGTGGGAAGAACTGAGATGGCACTCTTTGGGGGCAAATGGTTCGGTACACAAGCACCAATGAGTGCGCGATGGGCCATCACCCTACGTGTCAGTACTCATTAGTGTGTCGAGTTAGTATGCATTTACGCAGGTACCGGTTTTAAACTCGGGGTATCTGGTAAGTGATTTTTCATTGCGTTACAAGTTCACAGATGTTTCGCCTACTTGTCGACTTCTTTAGCTCAGGTTGTTAAAAATACCTCTGTGAGGCAGATCGTTTTTGGGTTTGCGGAGAACGTGTGGAACATTTAACCTAACTACTGTGAGTAATCGCTCATTCGGAGAATTGTACCCTCTCTATAAGATTATTTAACGTACGTCAGCATTTCTTATCCAACATTCCCACAAGAGACGAGCAATGCCAATAAACGCCGATGATAAAACACTAACATCGTTCCTCTGCGTGCAGTGGAAACGCTCCTGATCCATAAGTTAGATGTCTGGATCGCACTGCCGCAAAGTGAACCATGTCCCTGGGAGACAAACGGACGTCCAGCCGGCGCCAGCATGATCGAAAGTTCGAAAAATCCACCTTGGAATTCCTGAGTTGAGAACAAGTCCCAGCCAATCCAGATTTCCACGTAAACCTATTTATTCATCAGAGCGATTGGCTCGTTTGTGAGTTTGCGGTTCCCTCGCACTCTTGGAGCAGCACGTTACGATTTCCACGTGTGAACTACAAGCTACACAGTGTGACAGAATTCCTCAGGTTATTTAGTTCGGCTTCCATTTTTGGTTGCCTGAACAGAGGAAAGCACTATCGTTGGTATGATCAGCGGCTGTGAGGAAAATATCTCACAGCTATCTCGACGCAGGAGATATGAGAGGCGGGCGCAGAAATGTCAAGCAGCGTATCACTGAAAGAGTTGTAGAGGAAAGACTAGAGGAAGCAGGCCTTTCTTATAACGCCGGTCCTGATGGACTTAGAGAAACTTTGCGGTATAATTGTAACCATCCATCAGAGTTTCCTTACAATATCCCATTAGTTACGTAGTCCGGATCGGACACTTTCAAAAGCCGAATATTTATCTTACGAGCGACTAAGTCAATAATGACAAGTAAATCAGGGAAATCGACTAACATGAGACGTTTGGATGTTGAACGTTGCTGGACAATATTGCATAGGCTGAAGTTATGGGGATATACTCTCAGCGAGGGCAAAAGCCATCTTGAATTTCATGAGCTGTCTCTTCATCAAACTTGATGAAATAATGTCAGTGAGCACCTTGTATGCCACGACAGTTCTCGCTTGCAATTTTTGAAATCTTTTTCGAAGAATAACATCGCCGGTGGAACACTCCAACGGGGTTTTCATTTTTTTACGTTTTCCTCACCAGAGTCGTCACTTTTGTGCTTGGGGCTCATTGCTCATGAGGATTGATTTCTTGAAAATTAGTTGCACCCCTCTCTTCTCTTGCGCTTGATCTACTGATTTCAACTTTCGTTAATGGGTTGAATCAGTTCAACGAAATACGTGCAGCTGTCACCAGAAACGAAAGCCTTTTCCATCTCCTAGACACTCCTAACCTACCAGTGTCAGGAATGTAGCCAA